ACTTGTTACCTCTCGGTTGGATTATGGTAACGCCCTGCTCTGTGGTATATCTGACAAACTAACTAGTCGTCTGCAGAGGGTCCAGAACACTGCAGCACGGCTAGTTACTCGTACTCGAAAGAGAGAGCACATCACACCTGCGCTTTATTCGTTGCACTGGTTACCTGTACGATACAGGTCGCAGTACAAAATTCTGGTATACACATACAAGGCACTGAATGGAACAGCTCCTCAGTACCTACAGGAACTTGTTACACTGTATCAGCCGTCAGGATCACTGCGGTCGGAGTCAGAATCTTTGTTGTGTGTCCCAAAATCTCGTACTGTGACCTACGGAAACAGATGCTTTGGGAGGGTTTCGGCTACGCTGTGGAATAGCTTACCATCTGCTATTAGGAAGTCAAATACCCTAGCCAAGTTCCAGAGGGACATAAAAACTCACCTCTTCACGTCTGCATCTTAGAATCTTTGCAAAGACGTCATATAAATACCACCCTTTTATTTGTTCAATTATGTGCACATTGCTTGTTAAATGTATGAAAGTGATTGCAAGCCTTTGTTGGTTGTTTTCACAAGTATAACCATTACTATTATCCATATGTTGTAAAGCGCCCTAGAGTAATTTTACAAATTATATAGGGCGCTATATAAATGCTGTATATTATTATTATTATTATTATTATTATAGATTTGTATACACCAGGAAATTCTCCTCTAAAAGTTATGTTCTACATTAAGGTATTTTATTTGAAAATTCTTGATATTAAAATGTTTTATATTAAAGCATCCTTGTAACAGTGACTCGGTCTATGATGTTATATTAAAACAATACGTAAGAACGACTACATTATTAAATACACAGTATTGCTACAGCCAATTTTGTATTTAAATATTTATTTTCCTCAGGTAATCCATTCCTGGGAATTGGCATTGCTAAAATAGCAATTAGCTGTTTCACCCTCTTGGGTCTAACACTAACATCTGCAATCGTGTACGTAAAGCGACGCAATGTATTTCCCTGCTTTGCATCCCCGCCAAGTACGGCAGTACCAACGACGACGGATGACGTTGATGTACCAGAAAATTCAGGCATGCTTCAGCCTGTAACAATACCAACCAATCATGAATATGAAAAGGTACGTGATAAAAATAGTGAAGTAATACAATATATTAAAAATGATTAAATTGATTAACGATTCGAGGAAATTTGACTAAATAGAAATCGTGTAGTTACTATTGCACAGTCTTTCTTGGTATGTTTGACTGAATAAATTCCAAACATCAAAACCTTTTCCACGATCTTGTCGGACATGGTCAAAGTAAATCCTGTGGATTGTCCCTTGTTCTCGATATGATGAGGTTCACATGTTGATTGGTTGTGTAAGCATCGTCAAATATGACCGAGCACGAAAAATGTACACTTTATGACAAATGATTGAAGGGGTCATCATGCGTGTAATGAGTGATTTAATTACATTATCTATGTGACAATGTCACATATGACATATGACGTCATAGTAAGGCATAGCCGATGTTTCATTTGTTATACCGTTGTCGCATAGTAAGCTTTCGCTATAAAAACTGTATTAATTATTATCTGTATTACTTTGCCAAAATGTTAATAATGTAATGATTTACCTAGAAGTTGTCTAATCTATTTTTTTTGTTGACTTCAGGAATACTTTCGGCCGGAAGCCGTGTAAGAAGTCAAGACAGATTTTGGGTGGAGGTATCAATTGCATTACGACACCTACATTGCGTGAAGACCGGCACATAACGAACAGAAATGTATCTAGTTTGTTTGAATCACATTCCAAAACAAATATTGTGTCAAGAAAGACATATCGCGTCAAAACACATATATCAATTCATTACCCATTTAATGGGCCAAGAATCACACATCGCGTCAAGACCCTTACATCAAATAATTACACATCTATTTGGTCAAGAATCACATATCAAGTCAAGACCCTTACATCGATTCATTACACATATATTGAGCCAAGAATCACACATCGCGTCAAGACACGTATATCAGAGCATTATACATCTATTGAGCCAAGAATCATACATCGCGTCAAGTCACGTATATCAATTCATTACACATATATTGGTCCAAGAACCACACATCGCATCAAGACACGTATATCAATTTCTTACACATTTATTGAGCCAAGAAGCATACATCGCGTCAAGACACGTATATCAATTTATTATACATCTATTTGGCCAAGAACCACACATCGCGTCAAGACACGTATATCAATGCATTACACATCTATTGAGCCAAGAATCACACATCGCGTCAAGACACTTACATATGGGTGGCGGTTCGGGCCAAAAACGATATACAGTAACGCGTTAAAAAAGTAACGCGTTAGAAGTGACTTTTAACGCGTTAGAACTGACTTGTAACGCGTTTAAACTTACTTTTAACGCGTTAGGAGTGCATTTTAATGTAAAAGTAACGCGTTAAAATATTTGTAACGCGTTAAAAGTCATTTCTAAAGCGTTTAAATTCACATCTAACGCGTTACAATAGTAAATGCATTGGCCAATCAGAGAAATCGTTTCATAGTTCATACAACCACGGAATTAGATTAAAAGTTTAGATAGATCTATCGAGTTCCAGCTACGAAGAGTAGAATGTATAAAGGAAAGATTTGTAAGAGAAAGCCCAAGTATCATCAATGATTTCAGAACTTGACTGGCATACTGCCCATTCCATGTCTCTATCTGTTAGGGCTTCTCTGAAACATCTGTAAGCCAAACTTTCTCTTACTTCTCCAGGTGCTGTAGGATACCCTAATCTCACTAGGCGTTTGACATCTTGGGCCAGATCTGTCAGACTCTCATTTGGTTTCCTTGTCTTGGAGGTAATTTGAGCTCTGTACATCTCGCACTGATTTTTCGGTTCGAACCTAGCTGTTAAAATGCTGACCAAACCTTTGAATGATTGCATGTCTTCACACTTAAGATCTGATATGACGCCTCTTGCTGTTCCAGTCATGGATGCAGCCAACTTAAGACTCTTCATTTCATCTGTCCACTGATTCAACCTGGATATCAATTCATAGTGACTCAAGTAGTCAGTCCAACTGGATTTTCCATCATATGTGTCAGGTTTGGTATATCCATGTTTTGGTTTCTTATCATCATCTGACTTAGAGTTCAAACAGATGGTGTTGGTTGCTGGTAAAGCTATGATATGACTATGGTCCTCATTTATTTCTACAATTGGTGCATTGGAGCTGGTATCCTGTCCAAATGATTCCCTGTTTTGTTGGGTTGTCATGTTTCTTTGTGTAGGATTTTTCTCAAGAACACGGTCAAGACGTTCTAACACTTCTGATAAGGTGTTTTCTACTGACTTCTCTAACTTTTCATGAGATTGGACCATGGTTACCATGTTATTATCTATAGAATTCACTTGATCTTCTAGAGCCTCCACCCTTTCTATGGTCTTTGCTAGTTCTGACATTTCTCCC